AGCCTGGGCAACATAGTGAGAGCTCGTCTGTAAAACCAACAAGCATGCCGGGCTCGGTGGCTCAGCCTGTCATCCCGCACCTTTGGGAGGCTGAGGGGAGTGGCTTGCCTGAGCCCGTGGGTTCGAGACCCGCCTGGGGTCAGTAAATCAAAAACTAGCCGGGCGTAGTAGCGCACACCTGTAGTTCCAGCTAGTTGGAAGGCTGAGGCGGAAGGATCGCCGGAGCCCAGCAGGTCGAGGCTGCGGTGGTCAGGAGCCGCCACTGCACTCCAGTCTGGGCGACAGAGTGAGACTCCAACTTCAAAAAAAAAAAAAAAAAGCCAACAAGCAGGCCCGGTGCAGTGGCTCATGCCCTGTAGTCCCGGCACTTTGGGAGACTGAGGCAGGAGGACTGCTTGAGGCCAGGAGTTCGAGACCAGCCTGGGCAACATAGGGAGACTCTGTCTCTATAAAATGAGAAATAAAACCAACCAACCAAAAAACCCACAGCGAGTGCTCCACCAGTCGGAATCGACTTTCTAGCATTGCTATGATTTTAGTTATGCCCTTATTGCTGTCATTGGGACTGTCACGAATCTTGTTTGTCTGGGGATCTCTCTCAGGGTGTTTCCAACAGGGCACGGATGTGAATGCCTGTCGGGGTGTGTGTGTGTGTGTGTGTGTGTGTGTGTGTATGTGTGTGTATGTGTGTGTGTGTGCGTGAGCACCACAGCCTGGGTCTATGTGTGGCCCACACCATGCCCACCTGGTCCTACTCTCCCTGTCCTTTCTCCTTGTGTCTGGATCTGGTGGCCACATGTCCGTGTCCATGTACCCATGTGGATGTGTGTACATGTCTTCACATGCCCATGCACACGCCTGTTGACAACCTGTGCATGAGTGTTGTGTGTCTCTGGGTCTCTGTGTCTTTAGATGTACCTGGATCCATTGACCATGCCTGAGTCTACCTGTGTCATGTCAACATGTCATGTGTGTGTGGAAGTCTGCGCCATGCATCTGGCGTCCCTGTCCTCAGGTTGGGGTCCATGTGTCCAGCTGTCAGAATGTTCAGGTTTTTCTTTTTTTTTAGAGAGATAGGCTCTTGCCATGTTGACCAGGCTGGTCTCAAACTTCTGGCCTCAAGCAATCCTCCCTTCTCAGCCTCCCAAAGTGTTGGGAGCCTTCATGCCCAGCCTGTGTATTTTTTTTTTT